CAGTTTGTTTCCCGTTGAGTACAACTTCACTGTGAACCAATCAGCAGCTGCCACTGGTTGATGTTGTCTCGTTGATTAGAGGTTGTGGGTACAATTTCCATGCTTCAGACACATAAGTCCATCATCCAATAACAGATAACCAAAGGTCAGTGCCGAGGGAGCGCCGCACTGTCGGAGGGTCTGCGCCGAGGGAGCGCCGCGCTGTCGGAGGGTCCGCGCCGAGGGAGCGCCGCGCTGTCGGAGGGTCCGCGCTGTCGGAGGGTCCGCGCCGAGGGAGTGTTATGTTCATCGGTGTTATATTTCATTCCTCAGACCCTTGCTCGCTGACACGATCCTGTATTTAGCCCCTGCCCCTTTGCTGTTTGTGGGACCTTGCTCTGTGTCAATTGGTTGCTCATTTAACCCACATTGCACCAGGTCAGTAGACTCTGCTGGTCAGCCCCAACACGTGGGAATCCTGCAGTGATCAACTCACCTCTTGACTCCCCAGAGCCTGTCCCACCATCTACAAGGCACAAGTCAGGAGTGGGATGGAATACTCCCCACTTGCCCTGGACGGGGGCAGCCCCAACAACACTCAAGAAGCTCGACACCATCCAGAACAAACCAGCCTCTGCTTGACTAGTGCCACATCCACTCCCTCCACCACCGATGCTCAGTAGCAGCAGTGTGTACTATCTACAAGATGTACTGCAAAAATTCACCAAAGATCCTCAGACAGCACCTTCCAAACCCACGACCACTTCTGCGTAGAAGGACAAAAGCAGCAGATGCACAGGAACACAACCACCTGCAAGTTCCCCTGCAAGCCGCTCAACGTCCTGACTTGGAAATATATTGCCGTTCCTTCACTGTTACTGGGTCAAAATCCTGGAATTCCTTCCCTGAGGGGCATTGTGGGTCAACCTCCAGAACATGGATTGCAGTGGTTCAAGAAGGCAGCTCACCACCACCTTCTCAAGGAACAACTACACAAGAAATGATGATCTTGCCAGTGACATCTCATGAAACAATTGGATAAACTCTTGTTCAGGCTCCACACAATGTTTCAATGCAGTGACTTCCTGTGTAACTACATCCTTATCCTTTTACCTGACGAGGTAAAAGTGTTTGTTAATTATTAATCACTTGCAAAACTATTTACAATGGATGCTCACGACTTTTACAGCTACTTAGAAAAGCATGAATAGAAAAATAGTGATCTCTATTTCAAAGCAATCAGCAGAAGTGATTAATTGATGCCATCATGAAAACGGGACAAATTAACATTGACATTCGGAGAAAACTATAACATTCTGCAAAAACAAAGCATACATGACAGTGTCATGGACCACAAACAATTCCACGTTGTCACTGAGATACCGCACTAGTTATGCAAAGTACCTGAAACAAGAATCTACGCATGTGGGACCCAAACCCCAGTGTGTGTATGTGTGTGAGACCCATATCCTAACAAGAATGCTTCTCTGTGAAATTGTGACGATGGAAATTTGTCTCTTTTGATTTCCCCCTTGATTTGTCATTCTGTGGCTGCGTGTCAGAGCGTGGGTCCCCGTGATCAACTTTTGATTCAGTGTTGAATAAAGTAAACATGATCCTTTGAAATTCCAGCTCTGAAAAAGCTGCTTTGAATGGCAAGGAGAGTTGGTATTTCACTCAAACTTCTGACAGAGTAATTTCTCTTTTCCCTAAACACCTTTTCTGTCTCTAACTCTCTCCTGCTTTCTGGATCTTCACTTCCTTGCTTTCCACCTTCTCTGCTGTCTCTGTCATTCCCACTCTCCCACTCTTCCTTCTCTCTCACTTTTTCTTTCCACTCGATCTGTCTCTCTCCTTTTCTGCCGTTCATTCTGTTCCACTCTCTCCATCTCTCTCTTCTCTTTCCATCTCTCTTTGTTCCCAACTCTGTCACCACTTCTTTCTCTCACATCTGCATGTTTCCACAGATAGTAGGAACTGCAGATGCTGGAGAATCTAAGACAACAAGGTGTGGAGGTGGATGAACACAGCAGGCCAAGCAGCATCAGAGGAGCAGGAAAGCTGACGTTTCGGATCTAGACCCTTCTTCAGAAATCATATTTCCACCTCCACTTTTACACTCTTCTTTCTCCATCTTTCCCTTTCATTCACTGTCTCTCTCACTCTATCTCTCGCTCACTCTCTCCCATCTGTCTTTATAGTTCTCTCCACCTTTCACGTTTTCACCGTATCTCCTACATGCTTCAGTCTCATTTCTTACGCTCCCTCCTTCTCTCTTCACCTCTCTCTCTGTCTGTCTTATTCTCTCTCTTGGTTCATCTCACTCTGTGCCTCTCTCTCTCTCTCTTTTTCTCTGTCTGTCTCTCCCATATTGTCTTTGTCTCATTTCCTAAGGTCACCCTATTCTCCCTCACCCTCTTTCTCTCTGTCTCTGTCTTTGTAACTCCTCATCCTTCCTCTCTCTCGCCATGCCCCAGATCTGTCTTTACATATCTCTTTCTGCCACCTCCTCTGCTGAACCTGTTTTAAGGAATAGAAAGAAAGAGTGAGAGAGAGAGGCAGACAGAGAGGGAAAACATCACGGTTCAAAATTCCAGAGGCATAGGCAAGACAGATATCAAGAAATCTTTCCCCTTATCAGAGGGGTCAATAACCAGGAGGCACACCGAGAGAAGATCATAAGACATAGGAGTAGCAGTAGGCCATTCAGCCCATCAAGACTGCTCTCCAATTTTTGAGATCATAGCTGATATGATAATCCTCAGTTCCAGTATCCTGCCTTTTCCCCATAACCCTCATTTCCCTTACTCATTAAAAATCTCAGCCTTGAATATACTGAATGACCCAGCCTTGACAACCCTCTGCAATAAAGAAGTCCATAGATTCACTCCCCTCCAAGAGGAGAAATTCCTCCTCATCTCTATCTTAAATTTATGACCCCTTATTCTGAGATCATGTCCTAGACGCTCTCACAAGAGGAAACAGACTCTCCACATCTCCCCTGTCAAGTCCTCAAAGAACCTTTTGTGTTCCCATAAGGTCACCTCACTTTCCTCAAGTGAGTACAGGCCCCTAAACTACTCATATTCTCTTCACAGTCCCTTCATATCTGATGTCAACTTGAAGGTAGGCAGCAGGATGTTGGAAAAATGCTTTCACTCAAAGGTAGGTACCTGGAACTCTCAGCCTAAAAAGGTGTGGAGGCAGGAACTCTCAAGATATTTAAGGAGTGTTTAGATTTGAAATGCTAACACAAGGCTGCGGGTGAAGTTCTGGGAAGTTGGATTATAATAGAATCCCTGCAGTGCGGAAAGATGCCGCTCAGCCCATCGAAGCCAGAACAACTGTACGACGATCATCCCATCAAGAACTAGCCTCCACCCGATCCCTGTAACCCTGCATTTCCCATGGCCCACTCCATCTAGCCTGCACATCCCTGGTCATTATGGGGCGATTTAGCACGACCAATCTCCCTATGCTGCAGATCTTGGGACTGGGGGAGGAAACTGGAGCACACGGAGGAAACCCATGCAGTCTTGCAAACTCCATACAGTCGTAAAATGTCATACAATCCCTACAGTGTGGAAATAGGCCCTTCGGCCCATCAAGTCCACACTGACCCTCGGATCATCCCACCCAGACACATAATCTACACAGCCCTGAACACTATGGGGTAATTTGGCACGGCCAATCCACCCAGCCTGCACATCTTTGGACTGTGGGAAGAAACTGAAGCAAACCCACGCAGACACGGGAGAATGTGCAAACTCCACACAGACAGTCGCCTGAGAGTGGGATCGAACCAGGGTCCCCTGGCGCTGTGAGGCAGCAGTGCTAGCCCCTGAGCCGCCGTATTGGATGGGATATTTGATGACAGGATGGGCCGAAGGACCACATTCCATGCTTGCTTAAAAAAAAATCCTTTTGTGCCTTCAGGCTTGTGCTGAGAGTTTGCTACACAAACAGGGGATTGGGGGAGCTCACTGGCTATTTGGCCAAGGGGGGCATCGCGGACCTATTGGCGGATGAGATTCGACGGGCAGGAACCCCAGGGGCGTGCACCAACATAAACATCTTCAGGGCAGAGACCGATAGAGCGGGTAGCTGCTACAAAAGGGAAGGAAATGCCGCTGATTAATAGGCGGCAGACACGAGGTCGAGGTTGGGGTGCAGGAGGGAGAAGGGGAGGGGGAAGATGGGGAAGGGGAGGGGGAAGATGGGGAAGG